GATTTGTCGGCCAAGAGTGAACCCATGTGCTTGTGAATTCTCATTCGGACCGGTCAATCCTGTGGCTGAGGCATCCTGCGAAAACTAATTCCTGTCTGACTGTGAGCGCCATCTTTATCGTTGTGAACTGCTCAGCACCTTCGCACTCTTTCTAAACACACCCGTTTTTGTTCCGGAAATAAGTACCGACCACGGTTCCCGCCGGAGCCACCTCCAAAAAGTTCGTTTTTATATTTGGCCCCGTAGGGGGGTCTGAGTTACAGTCCCAATTCTGCTTTAACACGGATTTGGCCCAAACGTCATAGCTCTCTCCTAGCATCCATCACCCACACCACCATCCACCCCAAATGGATCTCGACGGTGAATCCAGCATGGATGAATCCAGCATGGTGCGATGACCTAGCTCGCTGGATTCTCCGGTCATAACCTAATTGGGTTCCCAATACGACCAGCGTCCGGCGAATCAGGGTGTCGCACTCAAATGTCCCGCAAGATGTTGCGTATCTCATGCTGGTCTAGAATGTTTGTAGAAAAAGAGTATAAAGTGTCAAAAGACTTCCCAGATAGGGCACATCATTCAAATGGTCACATTGACTTTCTAGGCATATGGAACGGGAAGCGTGAGCGGTATGTTTTTCAGGTGTTTAAAGGAATCCTTCCACGGAAAAAGCTCCGCCCTCATTACCACAGAAAACGATACCTTAAAGGAATCTTCCACGGAAAGAGTGATCATTTTGTCTTGTGTGTAGGATTAGTATTATCGAAACTAACGCTTATGTTCCGTTCTTTTTGCTATGCTCATGAGGCTAGGGGCCTAAGGGGTATCGTTTTTCTGTGGTAATGGAGGCGGAGCTTTTTCCGCGGAAGATTCCTTTAAGAAACTATAAGGTGATTCGATATCCCCGAAAAAGGAAACAGATCCAAGACTTGCGTTCATCAGTTATTGACGTTGGTCGATAATCAAATCATCGTGGGTACTGAACGGACGGTGTGGCACCCCAACGAGTTTATCAGTCGATATCATGGTTGGGATGTCCTCGTGAGTTGAGGCACCACAGAGCGTATGCAGCCTGGACGTTGTACGTGGCGCTCACATTCCGACAAGGGCCGACCATCGTATTAGGCTGGCCGCCAGGGCGATCGACAATTAGATCACCAAAGACCTTCGATATTCAGACTCTATTGATCACATTCTTACATCCACTCAGGGACCACTGGTAGAGCACTTCGACAAAATTGGTGGTGGCCTTGAAGTTACTGAATCAATACCGATTGAAGAGATGGTATGCGTATCGATATCGGCCAAAGCGATATCAGAAAGACATCACCGGAAAACAAATTGGCAATGTATGCAATTTTGGTTCAAGTCCCTTACAGCCGGAGTCGATGCACGACCATACGAGACCAACTCTGCTTTCGGCCATCCGCCTCCATCTGATAGTGTGTTGGGCACATATTTTACGTGCATATGATGCTCCACGCTGTTGAACGGTCCGTGCAGGCTCTTCCGTTGTCCCCGACAGCGCGCACGTTGTTGCGCGGCGGGTAAAACTTTAACGTGGTGTTGCACGATGCGTAGAGGGTGCTGCACGGTGTGTGCAGGCTCTTACACGGTGTTGCACGGTGTGTACGCGGCATTGAACTCTGTTGCACGGTGTCTGCGCGCTGCTTCATGATATTGCGCACTGTCGCACGGTGTTGCACAGTGTTCACGGAATGGGCACGGTATTGCAAGCACGGTCGGTCGGTTGTAAGGTCGTTGCAGATGTGTCACAGTGTTGTACGGTGTTTGCACAGTGTTCTACGGTGTAAGTACGATGTTAAACGGTATTGCACGATGTGTAGCGGTGTTGTACGCCATATGCACGGTGTTGCGAGATGTTGCACAGTGTTGCATGGTATGTGCACGGTATTGCACGGTGTTGCACGGTGTTGTACGGTGTTGTACGGTGCGTGCACGGTGTTGCACGTGTGTGCACGCTGTTGCACGGTGTTGCACGATGTATGCACGGTATTGCACGCTGTTGTACTATGTTGCAAGATGTTGCGCGGTGTGTACATGATGTTCTACGGTGTGTGAAGCTGTTCCATGGTGTTGCACGATGTGTTACTGCGTGTGCACGGCGCGTGCACGGTGTTGCACGGTGTTTTACGGGATGTGTACGATGTTTACTGCGTGTGCACGGCGCGTGCACGGTGTTGCACGGTGTTTTACGGGATGTGTACGATGTTTACTGCGTGTGCACGGCGCGTGCACGGTGTTGCACGGTGTTTTACGGGATGTGTACGATGTTTACTGCGTGTGCACGGCGCGTGCACGGTGTTGCACGGTGTTTTACGGGATGTGTACGATGTTTACTGCGCGTGTGCACGGCGCGTGCACGGTGTTGTGCGGTGTTGCACGTTTACGGATGTGCACGATGTCTTACTGCCGAGTGAAAGCGGCGCTGTGCATCGATGTGTTGCACGGTGTTTTACGGGATGTACGATGTTTACTGCGTGTGCACGGCGCGTGCACGGTGTTGCACGGTGTTTTACGGGATGTGCACGATGTTTACTGCGTGTGCACGGCGCGTGCACGGTGTTGCACGGTGTTTTACGGGATGTGTACGATGTTTACTGCGTGTGCACGGCGCGTGCACGGTGTTGCACGGTGTTTTACGGGATGTGTACGATGTTTACTGCGTGTGCACGGCGCGTGCACGGTGTTGTGTACGGGTTTACTGCGTGTGCACGGCGCGTGCGTGCACGTTGCACACGGTGTTTTACGGGATGTGTACGATGTTTACTGCGTGTGCACGGCGCGTGCACGGTGTTGCACGGTGTTTTACGGGATGTGTACGATGTTTACTGCGTGTGCACGGCGCGTGCACGGTGTTGCACGGATGTTTACTGCGGATGTGCACGGCGTGTGCACGGCGCGTGCACGGTGTTGCACGTACGATGTTTGACTTGCGTCGGCACGGCAGCCTGTGACGAAGTTGCACAGTGACTGTTGACGACCATGTGCTACGCATGGTACTGCGTTGCACGGCTTGCACGGGCCAGGTTGCACGGTAAGTTTTACCAGGGATGTGTACGATGTTCTGCGCTGTGCCGGCGCGTGCACAGTGTTGCACGTTACATGCGTTTACTGCGCCAGATGCACTCGCGCGTGCACAGGTACACAGCTCACACAATTCGTTGCACTGGTGAGTTTAGCGGTATGTGACTCGATGTTTACTAGCGTGGCACGGTACCGCGGATGACGATGCTGCACGGTTTTACGGTTAGGCCATCAGCGCACAAGACTCAACATGATTTTTACTGCGTGTGCACGGCGCGTGCACGGTGTTGCACGGTGTTTTACGGGATGTGTACGATGTTTACTGCGTGTGCACGGCGCGTGCACGGTGTTGCACGGTGTTTTACGGGATGTGTACGATGTTTACTGCGTGTGCACGGCGCGTGCACGGTGTTGCACGGTGTTTTACGGGATGTGTACGATGTTTACTGCGTGTGCACGGCGCGTGCACGATGTTGCACGGTGTTTTACGGGATGTGCACGATGTTTACTGCGTGTGCACGGCGCGTGCACGGTGTTGCACGGTGTTTTACGGGATGTGCACGATGTTTACTGCGTGTGCACGGCGCGTGCACGGTGTTGCACGGTGTTTTACGGGATGTGCACGATGTTTACTGCGTACGTGCGGCTTGCAGTGCGACTTATGCACGTGTTTTACGGGATTGTGCCTGATGTTCTGTTGTGCACGGCGACTACCCAGTATTAGCTCAACCCACTATAATATACTCTCACGCGTGCACGGTGTTGCACGGTGTTTTACGGGATGTGCACGATGTTTACTGCGTGTGCACGGCGCGTGCACGGTGTTGCACGGTGTTTTACGGGATGTGCACGATGTTTACTGCGTGTGCACGGCGCGTGCACGATGTTGCACGGTGTTTTACGGGATGTGTACGATGTTTACTGCGTGTGCACGGCGCGTGCACGGTGTTGCACGGTGTTTTACGGGATGTGCACGATGTTTACTGCGTGTGCACGGCGCGTGCACGGTGTTGCACGGTGTTTTACGGGATGTGCACGATGTTTACTGGCGTGTGCACGGCGCGTGGTGCGATTCTAGCACGGTTACGGATGTACGATGTTTACTGTGTGTGCACGGCGCGTGCACGGTGTTGCACGGTGTTTTACGGGATGTGCACGATGTTTACTGCGTGTGCACGGCGCGTGCACGGTGTTGCACGGTGTTTTACGGGATGTGTACGATGTTTACTGCGTGTGCACGGCGCGTGCACGGTGTTGCACGGTGTTTTACGGGATGTGTACGATGTTTACTGCGTGTGCACGGCGCGTGCACGGTGTTGCACGGTGTTTTACGGGATGTGTACGATGTTTACTGCGTGTGCACGGCGCGTGCACGGTGTTGCACGGTGTTTTACGGGATGTGCACGATGTTTACTGCGTGTGCACGGCGCGTGCACGGTGTTGCACGGTGTTTTACGGGATGTGTACGATGTTTACTGCGTGTGCACGGCGCGTGCACGGTGTTGCACGTACGATGTTTACTGCGTGTGCACGGCGCGTGCACGGTGTTGCACGGTGTTTTACGGGATGTGTACGATGTTTACTGCGTGTGCACGGCGCGTGCACGGTGTTGCACGGTGTTTTACGGGATGTGTACGATGTTTACTGCGTGTGCACGGCGCGTGCACGGTGTTGCACGGTGTTTTACGGGATGTGTACGATGTTTACTGCGTGTGCACGGTGCGTGCACGGTGTTGTGCACGCAATGTTGCCAAGCTGTGTGTTAAGTGATTAACAGATCGTGGATATTCGCAAATGCATGCAGCACAGTTATACACGCAACTTCTATCAAGTGCACGTCACTTCCGGTGACACGCCTACCATAACTTTCGGATAGACTGTACATTAGGTTAAACCCTTCATCGAGCACACTCTCAAAACTGGCGTAGCAGGGCTGATCACTGAATTCAAACTGATGAAACGAACAAATGATTTCAACGTAATGACGGAGTTTGTAGCACAGATTCCACAAGGAAGGAATCGGTACAAGGTATGACTTTCTAATTTCTACGTTGCTTCGACCTGACGTCCATTATTTTCTATTTCCTATTCATTCCTTTACATCTTTTTCCGTTCCCTCTGAATCCGCGGCCGGCTGCAACATGACATATAGGCTAATTCACTTTGAAATGTCGGTACATTCGGGCCACAGAAGTGGATTGCATGGCGCACTCTAGGAGCAGGAGATCCCAATCCTTCCTTTGCTTTCAGTAGCAGCGACTTTCCTTCACACGACAGCTGTTATTCTTTAGAAATCCATCTCCCTTCTAGGATGTTGGATGGCCTTGGACTAGCAACGCGTCGTGGAGCATGAACATCGGTCATGTTCTAATTCATGCCGAACTACGTTTGGCTATCGGTCGCAATCAGCCCACGAACGCTTTATATGCACACAGGTATTCAAAACGCTTATGTGAGTCCTCTTGAGTCGGAAAAAAACACGGGATAGACAAACTTTTGCAAAGAAGGAGTACTATTCCAAAATACGAGGGGACTGGTACAGCGCACAAGACGCATGAATTACCTGTAGTCTTATATAACGAGACGATAGATTTTAAGCGAGGTTAAGATTCATTTCTTGAAGAATTTTTTGTTTTCCTTGGCTTTCCTGCCCTCCCTATGCCTGTCTTGGACTTAACCGTGGGGTGTGCTCCATATATTACGATAGTGCCAAAAAACGCTATTGGCCAACACATCAAAAGAACTTTATGACACACATAGCTTTTCACTTGTTTACAATCCCACACCTGTGAGACCTCATCAGTTCTAAAAGTTTGAAGATTGTATAAGGATGACATGGTAATTCGAATTTAAGCCTTGACAAATTTCATTCTTTCTTCGGGGCACATAATTCCATAACCCATGAGCTCTACGTCTGGTGCATTACAGCTAAACACCGTGCACGTATATTGTGAACGTGTATCTACGTAGGTGTAAAATTCATGGACAAACGGATTGGCCGCCTTCTAGTTTGTCGATGAGATTGAATAGCTAAAAACGACTTAACAAGTGATTCAGGCTCCGCTACCGAAAACTTGTGCCGATTTCTGGTACATGGTTGTACAGGAGAAAGCAACTGCAATTGTGATGCTCTGCAATTTTATTGAGCAGGTCCTTTTGCTTGCCCTTGATAAATTTAGGCGCAATGTGGCTCCGAGGGGCCACCACGTAACATTGCGTCAGATTCACGGAAACTTTCAGTTTTGGACTAAGCTTTGGAGGAAAGAGGGAATCCGAGCTGCGTAAGCAATTTCATTCGCTCGGAATTCGTCCCTCTGCGTTAGGCTTAGCGCCTATTGACCTTCCGACCGACTGCCCTCCCCCTGGAGGCACATTGCGCCTAAATTTATACCACGGAGATCATCAATAAAGAATTGCTAAAATTTCAGAGTTCCAAGAAATCGGCCCCATATGTGCCAATAACGGCGGAGGAGAGCCCTTTGAATTTTGATGGTGTAACTGTAAAGTTTAAAAGACAAGAACAGGTACATAAATGGAGTGTGTTAATAACTAACTAGTAGTACGTTCAGTATCAGATATACTTCGAAAAGGTAGGACAGGTCGATTTGATACCATAGCGTTACGGTAATGGGCTTATCTACCGAATTTAGCAATAGTCATTGAGATGAAGTACATGTCTTCTGCCCAACTACTTGAGCAATGTTGCAAAGGAGCATCCGTTTTTGCTCGTTCAGCTCCGCTTTGTGGAAACTGCCCTCTTTTCCTCGCATCACACACCTGTTCCTAAAAATTATCCCACCAAGTAGCTGCCTCACTCCGCACCGTGATATGAGCGTGTGGGAATGCCAAATACATTGCCATGACATACACTATCACTTCCAGTAGTAAGCCTTTCTGTACATGTCTGTCTTCTTCAACGCTACCCTCAAATCAACCCTGAGGAAGACTGTTGAGCAATATCGTGGTTGGCAACAGAAACGCTGTTATTACTCCTTGAAATTTCTTTCTCTTTATTTAATCAAATCTATTCAGTTTCATTTCCCTATAAACACGAAGGTAAACATACGAGTGACTCATTTGGAAGTACGAGTACCGGGCGAGGCACCGCATGCCACCACTCACTATCACTGGCTCGACTGGCCTGATCGAGGCGTACCTGAAGCGGATCTTGCACCAATATGCCTACTTGCAAAAATACGGAACACTACGTGGGTTTCATTTGATCTTATAAGATATGCTAAGAGTCACTTAATTATTACAAGTTGATTGAAGCAGTAGGTGGAAGTTGGCGACGGGATTGGGGTGCAATAATGGAAAGCTAATAATGGTATTGGGTCAGTTTAGCCCTAAAGGATAAAAAACGGAGGCAGCGCCTACTTGGATGATCTGTTGGAGTGAGGAAATTTTCTGGAATAGTGGGCATCATTTTGAATGCCGACAGAAGGCTTGTCGCGCGGCGAGAAGGCAGAGACGCAGACGGGTCAGCGGACGAGTCGCAGCGTGTATGTGCGATGTGGGACGTACTATAGTACATTCTATTAACTTGACGCTAAATCGCTACAGCACGCGCTGCGACTCGTCCGCTGACCCGTCTGCGTCTCTGCCTTCTCGCCGCGCGACGGGTCCTCCTGTCGGATACCCATCATTTTTCATTATTTATTCCCTCTACTGACTCTCTCAGCGGAACTTTCTGGGAGATTTCAAAAGAAAACGGCATCATCACACTTTTTGGTGCCTTTGTCAAGATTTTTACTAATTGACTGAGTTCAGGACGCCAATAATCGTGCATTGTTCCGCCGGTATTGGACGTACTGGATCAATTGTTCTTATTGAACATGCCCTTGAATTACTTGGAACTCACGAAACTCTTGGGGAAATCCGAAGCTTACTACTGGCGCTAGGAAGCAACGAAATAATTCGATTCAGGTGTGTGATTTCATTTCAAAATACCAAAATATTTTCAAAATAATTATCCACTGAACCCAATGCGCGGAGGGTATGTGGCCACAAGTCTTCGATAATCCATCAGTCATTAAAGATAGCAAAGAAATGCAGTGAATCTCAAAATCACATAACCGCCAGTCATATGGGCAGGATTCATAAGCCTCACATATACCCGTTCCTCTGATACGGTAGTCTTGTAAAAGATGGGCTAACTAGGGGAAATAAACGGAGTCGCGGGGGCAAGCTCCGGCCCATACGAGGTCGTGTGTGGGTGGCGGCCGTGATTTCAGCTCACCATTCAGGTTCTGCTTGTTTTCTCATCAGCGAACAGTTGGGTTTGCCAAGAATGGAATCGGAGACCGAATTCAATGGGCATGAAGGCTGGGACAACTGCATTACCCTAAAATCCCATAGATAAGAGCGGTTTAATTTACCGGTGAAAAATGAATTGGAATGAAATTGAAATTGAATGCAGTCACCCCTCTAACTTGATGGATGGATAAATAAAAATCGGAGAAGAAGTTTAGAAGAAGCTCCGCCCCTCAACTCTAAACCCCGCCCACTTAATAAACAATTCATATAGAAAAATAGCGATTTTAACGGAATTTCTGCCGGAATCTCTCTAGAAATGCCGGAATTTGATCTCTGGATAGAACTTGAAGAGCCCATTCGATCAGTAAAATTCCATAGATAAGAGCGGTTTAAAGGCATGCCCCAGGATCGCACTGGTGTGGCTCTTGCACACGAATGTGAATGTATCGGTGCCAAGTGGGCCGGCAGTGAAGAAAAAAGGAAAAGAATCCGTCGAAAACGCTCAGGTTGAGGGCTCACTCACCTTCCTAATTGGCTGTGCTAAAGGAACGAGAGACTAAGCGCGAAGAGGAGAGTATGGGGCGAGAGAGCGCATCAGATGAGAGAGCACCAGACAACGGCCTGATAAGAGAGCTCGTTCGCTGCAGCTCGAGCAGCTTACTTTGCAAGCCCAAAGCGTTCTTGTCGGTCGAATTCCGTGCACGTGAACGCCACATTTGTGATTGTCCCCTAGGGTTCTATACTTCTGACCGAAGAGAAGAGTTCACAAAACCTCTGCCTGGGTTGTGCCTTTAATTTACCGGTAAAAAATGATTTTGAAAAAATATTAAATTAAATATTATATTATTAAATATTAATCTATGGACCGCTCTTATCTATGGGATTTTAGGGTACCTAAGAATTAGATCCGGGTTTCAACCCACGAACATCTGCTCCATGTAGACGTCCCGCGACCCGCCTCTACACAAGAATTACGCTTCCAAGCAAAAATACAGAACGTCCCTAGTATTATGTAATGTTATGCTATTCAGACTGAGCATCAATACCTCTACGTACATCAAGTACTTCTCATATATTTGAAGAAAATGCGATATCTTGATGAAAGCGTGAACCCGTACCTGGAACAATTCACTGCAGAATATACAGCAGCAACAAGAGGATTCTAGATTATATTGTAGTTCGATTCTTTAGACGATTTATCTTCATCGCTACTCGATTACTGTAGACCTGATAATTCTGTAGCTTGAGTAACTAACCACGACCATTCACGACGATATGATTGATTGTCAAATGTAAGCTATTGCACGTAATCGTAATATGTGTGGAATCCAAATTATCTACTCAAAATTAAAGTCGTCGACAGTTTAAAAACGGATTTTACCCGTTTTTCTTACTGTATTTTAAGCTCATTATGAAACAGGTCGGGTTTTCGCTCCTCGTATAATAAAGATGTAGTCGTATATGCGACTCAACTAACAATTATTGTCTTTGTACAACAAAACCGGACATCTTCGATCACCACCCTTCCGGGTTACGCCGCGCCTTCGACTTCCACTCAAAACCGTAAAGGCATTTTAATACGTACTTGATCTCTCCGAATGATTTGCACGAGCCCTGTACTGTGAAAGAAACGTCTTGTTTAAGATAAAACAAGATCGCCCCGTTTCGCTCTCTCTTCAAACGAACCTCGGCTTGGTGGGAATCGAAGAACATTGTAATCGACGCACATGTTAATCACCTGTGACCATCCAACTTCAACGGCACCACGAGGTTTCTGAGGCGCCCTGTAGCCTCTGTAGGAGTAGCCCTACCTGCACTGATTCCTTGAGCTTTTTGTACCATTGTAGACATTTGGAAAGAATCCCAGCTCTGAGCCCTGAGTCAATACCATGTGAGCTTCCATACCAGTTTTAACAATAACAGATTGCTTTTATGGAGCCTCAACACAAATTTAAAGCCATGGGTAGGGATTAGGTGCCGAGAAGAGTCTAGGG